AATTAAGCAGCTATTCTCTGGAGGAAAAAAACAAAAGTTCAGTCCTGGAGTTTACCCCGTCTAGGCTATTTTCCCTCGGAGCTCAATAGATGGTGCCGTGTTTGTACCAGTACTGAACTTCATGATTCAAACCTGGTCAGAAGAATCATTTTTAGTGCTAACACTACGATAAACGTTCACATGTAAACAGCACAGACAATTTGCAAAGGCACCAAAGTTCTCAGAGAGACCCATTCTATGAGCCTTAAACTCGGGCAAGTGGATGGAGTGTTATTTGTTTTTTTCACTGGTCTGTTATGACCGTGCTCCATTTACAAAGTTGTGTCTCCAACGAATATTCAACAGCACCAAGAGCTAAACTATCAAAACTCAAATTCGGGCATTGTATCACCTTTTCTTAGGACCGTCGATATCTGACAATGACTTGGTTGAAATGCCTCGAGAAAAAGTCCAACTCCTAGTTGGTTGCCATTTTAAACATCAAAGTCGTGACCTGCTTTGCCTTCACCACATGCATAAGCAGTCTTACCTATTGGGCAAACTAGGCAATTGCCCGGGGCCCCTCACATGGAATGGCCCCCGAGGCTATACACACACACACACACACACATGAAACTGATGACATATGAGGTAGTAGGGAGCTGTCAAGAACCAGAAGTAAGGTACTGTTAATGGACGAGCTTCACTAACACGAACTGTTTCATCAGCATGTGAAATAGCAGACACTTGCAAGTGAAAACACGACCGACAAATGGGTGCAAAATGTGGAATAAATCTGTGAAGAGAAGCAACCAGCCACTGAGCTGAGATAAAGGAGTCAGAAGCCATCAATGGATGACAGCCGACAACAGGAACTATATCATTATTAGACGAGACGATAGATGTTCGCTCATGATGACAACGATTGGTAGGACAGGGGGGATCCTATTCATGAAAAGGATCACCCAGCTGCCCCAAAAGGTACTGTTGGTGGACTGTTTATTCCAGGTCAGATTGCAAGCAAATCAGCGAGAGATCTGCGCCAAGACTATCCACAGGGGCAGTCTTAGTCATTTTGGAACCCCGGGCAGAATTCAGTAAATGGGGTCCCATAATGATAAGAAAAAGGCGTGTGGAAAGTCGACCTCTAAAACGGAGACCCAGTAACTGTTTTGTCAACAGGTGATATGACAGACACACAGAGAGGCTCTCTGCTGTTCCACTGGTAACAGAAGACTGGAGAAATCTTTAATAGATGTTGCTTACCAGTTTAGTGCACTACCATCCTAACCCCCCATAAGCTACACAAAAATTCTAACACAAAACCTTTAATAAACCTTAAATCAAAGCACAATGTAAATGCTTAAAGTCAATAAAGTAACGTTCACGTTAAGCACAAGTTAAACAAACTACCAAACATTATAAAAGTTGAGTTAAGCAAATGTGATAATTCAGAGGAAGTCAAGGATAATGAATGTTGCACTAAAAAGGGCAAACGTAGCTTTGTACAAAACAGAAGAACATCAACAAAGCTATGTTTGCATGCACCCGCACCTCGCACACATAACCTTCGTCCACAATGATCCCAGCACAAGGGGGTGGCAGCCCCCGGTCATTATCCGATTTTCCTACAGAACACACACCTGTCTATCTCAAAATGTCACGAGCTCTGTTTTCTGGAAGAAAATGTCGTTAGTCGTCAGTTAATGAATCGAAGTCTCGGGTGCATCAAAGGAAGAAAAATTGAGTTATATATATTTGAGCGACTCAAAACTGAACTGAAAGAAAATACGGAAATTTCGAAAATTTCACATATTAGCTAAGGGATGGGTAGCTATACCATGGTACAATCCTGTATCACAAAACAATGTATTCTAATAATTATGAGTAATATAGTTTGAGCATTATATTTCATTATTTTTGCTCATTAATAGGTGTAAATTTTAGTTCTGGTTTCTACGGGTAAATTGCTTTAATCAGAAAGTAATTCTAATTTACTGCTATATACATTGTTTCGATTTAATTAGCCTCCCAGTGGCTCATTGATATGTCTGCTTTTTTATACTGCTAAAAATCGGGTTATGATACCTGTTGTAGGCAGAGCACAAATAACCTATTGTGTAGGTTTGCTCTTAACAACAAACTAATCAACCAACCAATCGATTTAATTAATAAACGTAATGAATTCCCCAACTAAAAAGAAATAAGCAAACTGCAGTACAATGTAATTTATTTTTATTGAATTAGAATATTAGAAATGAAAGTTCCAGTGTCATGATTTCTTTCACTTTATTGGTACTTCCTATGAATGAAAAAACGTGACAAATAATGAAGTAACTTTCTATAACACAATCAGTTTGTACGTTGGTAAGCAAAAGCTACAAAATAGGCTATCTGTGTTCTGCTCTCTGTTGGTATCAAAACCCGGTTATAAGCCCTCATATTTACTGTTGAGCTATCTTGGTAGGTGGCAACCAGCGTTGTCAAGTCTCGCGAGAGAAACATAACATAGCGTGTTGGGACAACATGGGGGGCTATTGATTTATCTCTGCTGTTCCATCCTCTAAACTAAATTAAAATAATAGTAAAAAATCTTAAAGCCAGTTCTTATCATTCCTGTACTTATCAAGCTTTTTCTTAAACTCACTTAAATTTACTGCTTCTACAACATCCGAAGGCAACCCATTTCAAAAACTAATCACCCTGTTAGCAAAATGAAACTGTCTTAGCTGAAGATGACCCATCCCATACCTTGCCAAAACTTATATTTGTGTCCCCTAGTCCTACTATTCTCACTGTTAAATATGAAAACATATGATGCATTAACACTATTAATTCGCTTTACAATCTTATACAACTCAGTAAGATCTTCCCCTATCTCTTCTTTTTTCAAAAGAAAACAAATTGAGAGATTTCAGCCTCTCCTCGTATGACAACCCCTCCATACCAGGCACTATTCTGGTAACCCTTCTCTGAACCATTTCCAACAAATCAATGTCTTTCCTAAGGTAAGGAGCCCAAAACTGAACACAATATTCCAAATGTGGCCTAACCAGTGACC